GGGAAACTTCCAGAACATCTTGTGCCCAACGGGATAATCCCAGATCCTCTTCTCCCAACAGAACCACACAACGGGAAAACCCCAGAACTTCTTGTACCCAACGGGACAATCCCAGATCCTCCTCTCTCAACAGAACCACTCAACGGGACAACTCCAGAATATCTTGCGCCCAAAGGGAAAATCCCAGATCCTCTTCTCCCAACAGAACCACCCAACAGGAAAACCCCAGAACATCTTCCACCCAACGAGACAATCCCAGACCCTCCTCTCCCAACAGAACCACCCAGCGGGAAAACCCTAGAACATCTTGTGCCCAACTGGACAATCCCAGGTCCTCTTCCCCTAGCAGAACTGCTCAGCGGGACAACTCCAGAACTTCTTGTACCCAACAGAACACCCCCAGATCCTCTTCTACCCAACAAGACAACCCTAAAGCCTCTTGTACCAAATGGGATAATCTTAGAACTGCTTATACCCAACGGGACAACCCACATTCCTCTTCCTTTAAACGAGACAACCCTAGAACCTCCTCCTCTCAATGCTGCACCCAAAAGGATAATCCCAGACCATCATCTCCCCACCACTCTGCTCAACGGAACAATCCCAGGCATTCCTCTCCCCATCGTACCAACAAAGACATCCCCTGGGCCTCCTTTCCCCTCCGGCCAACTCAGAGTGAGGGAACCCGAACCTCTTCCCCATCTCGCTCAAAGCAAAGTGAGGTTCCGTGGGCATCCATTGCCCTCCGGCCAACCCATGGTGACAGGCCTCAGACCTCATCTTCCACTAGACCAGCCCTGCATGACCCACCTCAGTCCTCTGGCCCAACCCGGCAAAACTCACTGTCCCGAGCCACCTTTTCCTCCCACAACCCAGGCCAGCAGAGTGCCTCCCAGACTTCCTCGCCTCTGCACCCTACTGCCCGGGCTGCTCTCCAGACCTCTCCTGAGTCCTTCCAGCTTCCTTGTGCTGTGCTGTGTGCATTGGGCACCGGGATGCCCCTCAAGCCTCTTCGCCTCCTCGTTATTTGCAGCATGACCCCTTCCCCTTCTTCCCAGACCCCCGTACGCCTGAGAGTGAATTGCCCCACCATGAGCCCCCCTATATACCACCTGCTGTGTGCATTGGGCACCGAGATGCCCCCCGGGCAACCTCGCCTCCCCGTCACACTCAGTTTGACCCTTTCCCCTTTCTCCCAGACACATCAGATTCCTCTGAGAACCAATCCCCCCAGCATGAACCTCCCCAGTTCCCTCCACCTGTGTGTATTGGGTACCGAGATGCACCTCGGGCCTCCTCACCACCCCGCCAGGCTCCAGAGCCCTCCCTCTTGTTCCAGGACCTCCCCAGGGCCAGCACTGAGAGCCTGGTCCCTTCCATGGATTCTCTGCATGAGCCCCCCCACATTCCCACCCCTGTGTGTATTGGACACCGGGATGCACCCTCCTTCTCGTCCCCACCACGCCAGCCTCCTGAGCCCTCCCTCTTCTTCCAGGACCCCCCTGGGACTAGCATGGAGAGCCTGGCCCCCTCCACGGATTCTCTGCATGGCTCCCCAGTGCTGATCCCCCAAGTGTGCATTGGGCACCGGGATGCACCTCGAGCCTCCTCCCTGCCCCGCCACCCGCCCAGTGACTTAGGGCTCCTGGCACCCTCACCTCCACCAGGCAGCCTGGGGGGCTCCCGGGGCTCATTGCCCCCTGGAGACACCAGGCACAACTTGGAGAGGGAGGAGTACGCCGTGTTGGCTGACCTGCCACCACCCAGGAGGCTGGCTCAGAGGGAGCCAGGGCCTCAGGCTCAGTGCAGCAACGGAGGCCGTACCCGCAGCCCTGGCCGTGCAGAGGTGGAGCGCCTCTTCGGGCAAGAGCGCAGGTGAGCCCAGGGCAGGGTTAGCCAGGTGGGCTGGGGAGGAGGCTTGGCTCCAAGGTTAGCTTGCCAGAAAAAAGTATTCAAATCCTCCTGCCTTTCCACTGTGCGAAGTTGGGCAAGTCACTACACTTCTGCATATTAGTTTTTTGAGGATTAAGCGATGCTGTGCATAATGTAGTGGATAAGAGCCAAGACCAGAGTCAGGCAGGCAGAGTTCAAATCCTAAGTAAAAGCCACTTCCCAACCTGTGTGACCTGGCAAAGTGATTCAACATATCTGAGCCTCAGTTTCCTCATCTATACAATGGGAGAGAACTGTAGCACATTTATTTAAATGAGGTCAAACTCTCAAATTTTTGCTTGATTCAGACTCAAAGGTTTATTTTGTTTTTCTTTCTTCCTTGCATGAGGGAGAAGAAGAATATGCCCACAATTCTTTTCTGTGTTAGCAAAGAACTATGTAGTCCCCACGTAGTTGAGAAGCAGAGACATCAATTTAAAACACATGGCTAAGGGTGGGACAAGATAGCTCACGCCTATAATCCTAGCACTCTGTGAGGCTAAGGCAGGTGGGTTGCTTGAGCTCTTGAGTTCAAAACCAGCCAGAGCAAGAGTGAGACCCCCATCTCTAAAAAATACCCTGGTGTTGTGGCAGATGCCTGTAGTCCCAGCTACTCAGGAGCCTGAGGCAAGAGAATTGCTTTAGTCCAGGAGTTGGAGGTTGCTGTAAGCTATGATGCCATGGCACTGTACCCAGGGCGACAAAGTAAAACTCTGTCTCTAAATAAATAAATAAATAAAAATTAAAGTTAAAGGGCAGCACCTGTGGCTCAGTGGGTAGGGCACTGGCCCCATATGCTGAGGGTGGCGGGTTCAAACCCAGCCCTGCCCAAACTGCAACAAAAAAATAGCCCGGCATTGTGGCAGGGGCCTGTAGTCCCAGCTACTCAGGAGGCTGAGGCAGGAGCTGGAGGTTGTGAGAGCTATGATACTATAGCACTCTACTAAAGGTGATAAAGTGAGACTCTGTCTCAAAAAAAAAAAAAATTAAAATTAAAATAAAACACACTGCTACAGCCACATTTTTTTTTTGTTTTTTGAGACAGAGTCTCAAGCTGTCGCCCTTGGTACAGTGCTGTGGCGTCACAGCTCACAGCAACCTCAAATTCTTGGGCTTTAATGATTCTCTTGCTTCAGCCTCCCGAGTAGCCAGGACTACAGGTGCCCGCCACAACGCCCGGCTATTTTTTGGTTGTAGTTGTCATAGTTGTTTGGCAGGCCCCGGCTGGATTCGAACCCACCAGCTCCGGTGTATGATTGGTGCCCTAGCCACTGAGCTATTGGCGCCAAGCCTAGAGCACATATTTTAAATAAGAGAACTCACAGAACTACAGGTATTTTAGAGGGTAAACATTACTTTCCTGGGACACTGACAACTGAAGTCCAGGTGTCTTGTGAGTCTCCTTAATTAGCAATGCATATCACTGGAAGGGGAAATATTTCCACTTGATCCATTTAATATCCAGGTGATAATCATGGAGTTCCAGTATTAGTATAATTCTTTCTTTGGCCTTTTTTTTTTTTTTTTGCAATTTTAAGTTCACAGCAAAGTTGAGTAGAAAACAATTCCTCTCCCACTGTCACACTAGAGTGGAGTATTTGTTACAATCCAGGAACCTACATTGACAAAATCACCCAAAACCCAAAGTCCATAGTTGACATTAGGGTTCATTCTTGGTATTGAACATGCCGTGGGTTTGAACAAATGCATAATGACAAGTACCACCATAGTACAATGTACCATTGTAGTATCATATGGAGTAGTGTCACTGCCCTAAAAGTTCTCTGTATCTTTTTTTTTTAAGACAGAGTTTCACTTTGTTGCCCTTGGTAGAGTGCCATGGGGTCACAGCTCATCACAGCCTCAAACTCTTTTTTTTTTTTTTTTGTCTCAGAGCCTCAAGCTATCCGCCTGGGTAGAGTGCTGTGGCAT